TTTATGCTGGTGGTGCGGAACCACCACGACTGCTGCTCGTTTTGTTCGCGGTCGTAAACACACCTTGAAATTATCGCACGAGCTGCAATAAAAATTTAACGAAAGTTATTCGGAGGTTTGTGTAATTTATTTTACTTGATGCAGTTTTATTTATTTTTATCTTATTCTTTAATTGTGTTTAAAATTTTTTTTAATAGAAATTTATGTAAAAATTAATAGTACGAAGAAAGTATTATAATTTATAATATAGTCTGAATGATTCACTTAATATCTGTATTATGTTCTTCTTGAATACTTCGTGTGTTTATTGAGAAAAATAAAATTGTTCTCATAAAAAGAATTTTGAATGCCGAGAAATTCGATATTAATATAAAATTAAATTTTGCATTTAATAATAGCAACAATATATATTTATCGCTTCACGATTATGTTACGTAATATTAAAAAAACTTGCTCCGATCTTTTGACAAGTTAAACAACGGAATCTATGGGGGCGGCATAATTGCGAAGGAAAAAATGGAACGAGTTATAATAGAGAAGAGGAAATTAAGGTCACAGTTCATGAGGTTACGAAGAACGCTCGCTGCTGGGTACCGTTACTTGAACATGCATCTCAGCTAGTCGCTGCAGCATCAGCACAATAACATGAAGCTAATAAATATTTTTGATGTCAAAGATAAAGTGATTCTCATGCTTAAAATGGAATATCCGCCATTTAACATTGTATATACTTGAATCAGACATTCTAAAAGTGACTCTTGAATATACCGATTGTAAGTACACTTTATTTTTTTCTCATCATACAAGAAAAAAAGAAGTTTGCTTTTTAAACTCTTATTATATAAAATTGCTAAAGTTTTTAGCGCGACACAATCTAGTTCCCTGAATTCAAGCTTCTTATAAATCGTATTAAGTAAAAAATTTGCTTCTGCACGCTCGACCAGCTTGGTCATTTGTTGGCAACCTGCGCCGACCAAACGACGGCCTTGCTCGTTTTGTGGAACAAAGTGAACGTAATAATACGCCTTTGGAACACGTGACCGACGTAAAAGCCTTCCGCTCAAGCGACTCGTGCATCTGGGACGTTCTTACAAAGAGTGACGTGTCAGGAATCGCGACAGGAAGAACGCAAAAGCTTTTGCATTTCCGCACCATCATTCCGCCACTTCGCTAAGTCATGACGGAGGAGCACGCTTTTTCGCCCTGCGAGTACTTCGCTCGGATGCGCCCGAGTCTCAAGGCCACGTGTGCAAGCTGAGCGTAAAAATTCTCTGACCAGTAGAAAGTATACGATTAGTCATCAACGATCGCTCCCGCTTGTGGAAACACATCTACCTGTTTTTGAGTCAAATTATTTTTGCAAATTTCTACAATAATTTATTTGAAGGAACATGTCATGATTTTTTGTGATGTTACATAACATTCTTCTGAATAATAAATAGCAAGTATGTACATTTTTGTAAGAAATAGCAATTATGCGCAGATAAACAAATTATTTTAGAGACGCTGAGAGTTTAAAATAGATTTTGCAGTTATTGAACTTTATTTCCGCAGAAAAAGTTGTAAAAAAGTTTGGTAAAAAGGTGATGGAAGAGTGAGCGACTAATGGCTGATGGATCCGGAGAATCGGATGTCTAGTTTTATTTCTCAAAGGCGCCTGGAAGCCGACGCATTCGAAGCCGACGCACTCTACGCGGTGAACTCCCGTCTTCCGCTAAAGCGAACACTTCCAGCGATCTACTATACATGTTAGGTACATAATAGCTACCATACTCTCGTACCGGTCGAACTAGTTTCATGCTTGGTTCTCTCGCGGCCTTGAGGCGCACGGACCACTACGCGGTGTGTGTCGGTGGTTGGTCGAGAAAGCCTTTATGGCTTGCCTCATCCGTGGATGGTGGATCCACGATACTACTCCTTGGCCTTCCGCAATTTCAGTCATTATAACCGTACCTCTCGTGCTGCACTTGGACGGATAAAGTGGCTTGAGCTCGGAAACGTAGATTAAGGGCTATTTTCGAGATTTACAAAGAAGCACCGCACAAAACGGTTCACTCCGGAAAGCGTTCCCTTGTTCGAGAAACGCGCAAAAATGTTAGCCTCGTGCCAATTCTTTTCCACCTCTTATTTCAGCAGTAGAAATACTGATCTTTGAACTGATCTCATAAAAGAATTTTTTACTTACTCTTATTAAGAGTTTTTAAATTATCCAAATAAATGATATTAAGCTAATTGTCAGATGTAAATATTAAATTGCGGAAAGGTCTAATAAATACGAGATATGCAAATTTGATGAACATGTTACAAAGAGTAGCGGACTGTCCTGCAGTCGGTTTATTACGAAAGAGATAATTCAAACGTATGGCTGTTTGTCGAGTGACAATGCAAAAAGACACGCCTCAACCTGGTATGCCAAGGTGGCTCCACGCAACAAAACAGGATTGGTCGCAGAGAGGAAAAGAGACGTTGAGAAAGAGAGAAAGAGAGAAACACGGTACGTGCGGAATGAGCGCGACAGAAGGACCTCTGCACCGCGCTAATTATCCAGTGCCGTTTTATTACGATCTTAATTGGTGCACCGCGTCATTCGGTGGAATTAACCGGCTTTGGAACAATGCTTTGAAACCGGAACGCCAGTACCCCGACGAATGTAATTGAGTATTTCGCAATCGTGACGCTTTCACGACCACGCGCCGCGCGCACACCTTCTCCTGCATTATCGCCTACGCGGTGAAAATATATTATCAACGGCCGTTGCAAAATTTAATGACAGCATTACGGTTCACTGAGGCGTGGAGGACATCTCCTCCGTCGCAGAAACGTTCAATGGCCTATCACTGTGATGACGATATTTATCTTGTAACGAGAAGAAACAGGATGAAATACATGTTTCTCATTGAACGAAGACTGGAAAATAGTGTCTTCACTTTGTATAGTGAAATTTTTTAATTGATTGAACTGATTTTTTAATTATTATTAATTAGGTAAAAAATTTCACAAATTTAAATTCAGATTTTTATATAAAGAAGTTGATTTAATTTATTTTAAGTAAAATGTACTTTAATACAGAATTTTAATTTGAAGATTATTTTAGGAAATATAGTAATTAGTAAAATAATGTTTGTTAAGAATTTTATTAAATATTTGAAGAATAGGCTAAACATTTCAGAAATTTTATTTAGTGAAGCATATTAAAAAAAAAACCAATGTCTTGGAATGTAAATAACATTTTGTTCCAATTATTGTTCCATGATTTGGAGATAAAAAATTAATATCCATACATAAAACATATTCTTTGCTTATTTCCTGGGTTCCAAATTTTGATTTGTCTTCACGTAAGATAGTAGAATATATAGCAAACATGTTAATAATCACGAAGGCATTAATATTAATGAACGTGCTGCGATGTGTAACGCACGTGTTTTACAGGTAAATATTCCACGCGATATCCGGCGCGGCAGGATATTTTTTAATTTCGCCTTGGCATTAGTGTCGCATCATTAAAATCCATTAGACGAACGAGCATCATCGGCATTTGCTAAGCTCGGTGTAAAACGTCGATATTAATCGTTAATTACACTGTGCAGTAAAACTGTGTATAAAGTTACGTGTTACGGATGCGGCAGGTGAGGTTTATTCCAGTACGCCTAAAGGCTTCTCTCATCAAGAGATGTCAATGACTTTTACTTCCGGCCGAAAGCCGGATAAAGAAACGGCGAAGAAGCGTTGTTAATAACGATGGTGAAAACTTGACAAGGAGAGAGTGTTGACCTGGATATAATACGTTCGATAAACTCGAAACACATTATTGACGTATGTATCGAGGTCAGAAACGCGCCGCCGATTAGCAAACGCACACGCATGGATATCTGTGAAAGTGATTTGTTTCTCTCGTCTGACAAGGTGTTATTATGAGATTTTTTTAAGGAGCTGTATAAATATGATTTCTACTTTGAGCATCTACTTTGTGAGAGGCAAAATTTTACAAGTCGCTCGTTAAGATTAACTCGAGAGATTTGTGAAGGTCATCAAGATACACGCGTGGCGTGAGAAAGAATTCTAAATGTTTGCCAAAAAGTTTGGAACCAGTTTACGTCGCGTATACGTGTAAAATCTAATTAGGAGTATCACAGCACTTTCTAGATTATATGGATTTATTTTATAAAATTCTATAAATTGATTTTTTAAGATTTTAAAATTGTTTTTAAAATTCTTTGAGAGGATTATGGCATGCAAATATATGCAAAACAATTTGTGACACTTTAAAAAAATTTTTAAATTAAAATTGCGTGTAAATTTTCTTTGAATTATCTCTGGATGTACACTCTTTTGTTTTCCAACGAGGTTAAGATATATCGTTATTAACATTATTTTGCACGAGAACGCTTGGAAACTCACTTCGTATTCCTGTGCAATTTTAAACGTCGACATTTGCTAATGCGTATTATTAATCATCGTAAGAACCGCACCGCGGTATTTCAGAGAAGTTTTTGAACATCTTTTACTTGTACTTTAATTACGAGGGAAGATGAGGAGAAGAATGAGAAGGTGATATGTGGGTAAAAGTACTGTTAAATTCTCACCCTCTATTAGCAATGAGCCATTAATATTAATAACATAGCGTAATCTTTGAATTCAACTCCGCTAGGAAGTTCTTTGTTAAAAGAATACGGTCTTTGTTTTAGTATTAAATAACTAAATATATTTTCATAAAATTCTAATCAATTGTAATTAAGAACTATCATGATGTTTTGTTCAGTCTGAATTATATAAGTATAATAAGTTAATAGATGTTACAATTTATAATTTTAATGAATCATAAATTTAATAAGGACTTTATGTTACATTTTTTTCTGTGTCATCAATCAAAAGGTGACTTTAATATCTCTTATGATAAATACTTTAGTTTATATTAATAGTACCGTCAGATTTCAGATTTTAGTCAGTTTTAGTATTCAATTTATTATTTTCAAGTTTTTTCTTCGTTATCTTGCTCTCAGGACGTAATGAGCGAGTACGAACGGATCAAGCGTTCGTGCTTGAAACGAGGTGAGCTCTGGGAGGATCCAGAATTTCCAGCGACACAAGCGTCAGTCTTTTATCACCAGACACCGCCGTTCCAGTTTCAATGGAAAAGGCCGAAGGTAAGACCGCATCTTTTCCTTCGACTAGTATAAAATTATTTTTAACTATAATAGTGTTTTATATTTAGCAAAATATATAAAACGATGTAATATTATACATTCTTTTATAATGTATATACTTTATTAATACTCCGTTCGGCTTATACATCTAAATTAATTTAGACAAATATCTTTATATTACAAAAATATTCGTCTCTATGAAAAATAACTTAAGTATGATATATACTTTTTTCCTGCAATCCGGAACGATTAAAATTTTATTCCTTGGTAGTTGATAAACAATGAGGTTATTCCTTCGGGAGCAGCCTGGAACTAAATTAGCTTCCTCGGTTCGCTCCAGTTCCTAAAGAACGGAAAGACATGTACCATGGAACTTAGGAACCGTAACGAAAACAGTTCGCAACCTTGACACGCAGCTCTTCTCTGTCGCCTGCGTGCTTATAATCGTGGAACGTGTTTTCTGGTCACAAAACTTAACGGAATCACTCATTCTGACAAAAGATCTTGCTGTCTTCACACAATTATCTCACTGATTTATTTTTGTATTTTTTTCCTAATACCTAAACTATATTTAAAATATTCAATTACTCTCTTTGTGTCATAGATTATTTAAAAAAATTATATTTATAACTTTAATATAATTTTGTTACATAAATTTATTAATAAAAATATTTAATGTTCTTACTAATTTTACTTTGATACATTGAACGTTAGAATAAACTCGAGATACTGAATTCAGACTCTTCGAATCCATCTTAAATAGAATGACATTCTTTTAAATCCAGCAAGTAGTTCTATAAAATATCGAAACAGGGATCAACGATCCTGCGGTGTAGATTACGCAACCTGCACGACGAGATGAAAAACGAGTGAGTGGCAGGTGAAGTCGACGACGCGTAACCGTGGTTTTCTGTTTACTAAACGAGACATTGCGTGGCCGTGCATCATCGTCGCATATAATGATCGTAATAGAAGTCACTGACAGCCACACATTCCTACGACAAGGTCAACAATTGCGTGGAGAACTCATATATGGCGTGCATCGTTGGCGTGTCGCGCTTTTAACACCGTCGCCGAAGTTTACCTTTACAAATTCCCGTCACGATCGCGCTACCGACCGGAAATACGCGCCAAAAGAGACTGATATTACGTTAGCACGGGACGCAGTTGGAAAACAGTTATTTAATATGACCCCAATTATTGCTTTGTGTGTTTTACCATTGTTAAAATCATTAATATTTCTTCAGCACAAGGTAACCGCATACACGTGATTATTTTATCGAATATTGATATTTTTTGTACTGTATAATTTGTGTAACAATAAAAATTAATAAAATAGAATTGTCCCATAAAAAAATATTATCAAAAATTACAATAAAATTGCTGAAATATAAATTTCTGCTTCAACTAGAATCAGCAATAAGCAAATGATAAAAGATAATGTGAGGACAGTTGCGTGGAGGGAAGCGTGACAGTATATGGAAATATAAATTCTAGATAATGACACATTTGATACACTTAGAATTAATTAATTAACTATGATTGATAAATGCAATAAATTATGAGCAAATTGTTTTGTCTTTGAGAAGTTTTCCTGGAAACATTTATCTCGAGTAAATAACAGGAAAGAAGTGAATCATGAACACATCAATAGATAGATATGCACCGAGAATCACTTCTTCGTGCCTTACATAATGTGTAGATTTCATTCCACATTACTCTGTTATGAGTGATCAAATACATAGAAAAATGCAAAGATTTTGCAGGAGAAAGAAATTGAAGATAATTTTCTTCGTTTCAGGAATTATGCAATCGTCCGATTTTCGTCAGCGATGCGCCGGCTCAATTCGACGTAATTCCAGGGAAAATGGGTGAGTAATAAAATATTATTTGTAAGAAATAATCGTAACCTGCTTTTATACAATAAATTTGAGTGCAGGAGAGTAGAGCATAACATGAGAGAACGTATTGAATAAACGTCAGTGAAACAAAGCATGCATAAATAAACGGCGCACGAGAAGCATCCAGAAACGACAGAACTGGTTGTTCCGCTTTTGCCTTTTCTCCTTTTATCTTGGTGGTATGAAATTTCCTCGATAGACGTAATGATACGTTGTGTGTTTGAAAACCTCTGGCTCCTATTTGACTCTTTTTCTCCTTGCGCGACGAAAGGTTACGCGAGTTCACTACCACGGACGGGTAATCGAATATTAAACTTTCATAGTCGGTTATCTACGGAATAAAATCATTCATGCACATCGCAATTTTGCTTTATTTTATTTATCTATAAAATAGAGTCGATTCACAATATTCTGCGGAACATTCAACCAATTTTAACACAGTTTGAAATGCGCCCATACATGTAAGTGTGTGAGTGCGTAGAACTTTTTACAATATGATACATAAATATGAAATATTAATACCAGGAATGGTTGAACAGGTTTTCTCGTGCGTTCCGTTTTAAGCGCGCGTAATCGAGCTAGAAAAACTTAAATGTTTTCCTGCGCTACTACCTGCATTAGGTACTCTAAGTGTAATTTCTACAAGCAGAAGAAGAACAACACTGAATCTCAATTGCAATGACGTAAAAAGATTGGCATTTCTGCGTTGCGTATCAGCTGTATGCGCATAATAGTCATAGCTCTCGTAGATGATATCAATTAAGTAATTAAGAAAGTGATCACGTCGCTATTTATCAATTGAATATTGAATATTGTGATTAATTATGATTCAATATCAATAGTATTCGCGATTAAATGGTTCAATCAAAATGGCATTAACAGCATTGTAGGCGAAACTTATACCTATAATGAGAATCAAACGAGAATGTAATATTTGATAAATGCTTTCAAAACTCTGCGTGTATTAATTACGTTAGAAAGTTGTGCGTTCGTGCCGTTGATACTTGAATGCGCAATTTACTCGAGAACTTATTCCACTGCTAATTACTACATCATGAAGATAGTAACACTTGTTAAATGTTACGTATCGTATCAAATGTTGGAATTATTTTTTCGCTGCTACGATTCTAAATGGTGCGATAAGGTCAACGAATAAAATGCTGAAAGATATAGTGTCTACTATAAACTTTCTGTACGCAAGATAAAATATCGCGTTTGAAATTCTTGATTTCTTCCGAGAATGCAAGAACAGGAAGTCAAACCAGTTTTTAGTTTGATAGGTGTTACGGATTGACAGCAAATACGTTGTTACACTTTTTTATTATACCCTGTAATTATTGTAACAAAATTTCACATTCTTGTGAAAAAAAAGTCAGTTTTTAATTTTTGGCTATTAAATGTAACGTTATAATTACTCACTCTTTCTTATTTTTAATCGTAGTATCTTAATTGCAAAAAACGTGTAATAATGTTAACGGTTCGTTTCTACAAAAAAATTTTTTTGCCACGAGTTTAAATTTCATTATTTCATGGAGTGAGATGAGAGGTTACTCATTACTTGTTACTCGCTACTTGTTACAATGATGCATTGTAGTAATAATTTTGCATTCTTCGGATTTTGTCATGCCTTCGAATGCTCACGATTGTAGCCAACTCAGGAAATTAAAACGGAATGCAACTTCACCTCGGACGCGAGCTAATGCACCGTGGAACGTTCTGCGACGTAATCCCTTCCGCAGCTCAGGTATAATTCACGAGTGTTGCATCGCGCCGCCGGAAGTCGAGCGCTCTCGAGTAAGCCATGCGGGCGCATTCCTGAAGATATAACTGCGTTTGCTGTAGCGCGAGCGACGTGTCCCGTTAACGTGTACGCACGCACAGCCAAGCAGGATGATGACATGTAATAATTTGTACCGACCTACATCGCGACATCACAAAATTCGGCGATTTGCCTTCATGGCCTTGCGTGTCGACACGCCTGCTTTCGAGATCGACTTTAATGAACTCGATCGAAGTGGAAACACTTCGAGCGTGTTTCAAGTAAAACATAGTAATATACGGAATGAAGATTAAGAGTTTATGTAGCAAAACTATCATTCTGCGAAATAATGAAAGTTCAGTTTGTTTCAGTATGTGTGATAGAAACGTTATTATATATTTCTTCTAGAAACTAGTTGAAACGTGAAACAAGAGTCATTATTGAAAGTGAATAATGCAAATCCGCCTTCGAGCGACTTGCTCTCATTTTCCTTTCTTCTTCAGTCTTGAGTGGCAAAAAGCCGATAAAAGCGAGCATTTGATCAGCGATTAGATCTTCGAAAACGAAAGTGAAGTGAATGAACACAATAAGATAAAATACAATGTCATTCTTGAATCATAGACAATTTTCTCATGATATTACAACACATTCGACGAACGCTACGCAGCTATTTTGTTTTTACAAAGAACTCACTGATCGCTAAAAAAACAGTAAATTTTTATTAATTGCGCAATTTGCAACATTAAACAGTTCGATAAGTTATTCCATATTCTTTAAGAGTTTAGTGACAGGATGACAACATCAGTATAATCACTTTAAAATAAAATTAGGTATGCATACATTAACGATTTCTCGGATGTTTTGCACGTTTTTTTTAATAAGCAAATTTAGTTTGTAGTTTATCACGCAATTTATCTTTATGTTTGTGGAATATTAAACTTTATTTTTTTATTTGATGAAATTTTTAGACAAAAAGCGTAAGATAAAAAGTAGTTCTAAGATATTTATCATCCTACTATCTTTGGATAATTTTTCTCTTTCACTAAAAATTTTTTACGGTCGCATTTTTTTTTAGATCTCAATAGAAAAAATAAAAATTTCCAAAAAAGGTTATTCAACAGGATATTATTTTTCTGTTTAGGTGACAAGTGGCTGGTATCATGCCTGGGCGTGCTGCATCTTAGCAAAGGTCTATTCTACAGGGTGGTACCAGCAGATCAGGGTTTCGGAAGCAGTGGAGAACCCTCGGGCTCGCCAACTGCTGAATACGCTGGAGTGTTCAGGTTTCGACTGTGGTGGTGTGGCGCATGGGTAGAAGTTCTCGTCGACGACAGATTACCAGCAGTTCACGGAAGATTGGCCTTCGTCCAGAGTCGCCATAGTGATCAATTCTGGCCGGCGCTGCTGGAGAAAGCGTACGCCAAGTGAGTTTTCTTTGATCGTTTTTACATCAGAATTTCACGGACAGATAAATCTGCAGATAGAAATTACAGCGAGATCGCAGCTACAAAAAAAAAATAGTGATAGCACTTTTGTTGACCCAGATAGAACAGAGAACTGAATGAGCGATGTGTTGATGAGTAAGCAATTATGTCGTTTTAATTATAGAATTTTTTCTAGGTTGACACAAGAGTTGTTTATTTGATATTATTGCACGCGCATAAAAATTCTTTTTGTTATTAAATAAATTATTCATTGTTTTAATTAGCACCGATGAAAATAACGCAAGAAATATTGTGCTAATAATTGATACAGATTTATTTTTTCTGAAGAACAAGCTTTAAAGTTTTCTAAATCTTGGATCTTATTTTGCATAAGGTCGTAGAAATGAAAAGATGAGATACATTGTGCTCTTACGGAGGTGGTTTTCGAGCCAGTTTGAGACGAACGGCGAATTGCCGTGGGCGGCGTGGGCGTCCACCAGGTGGCTGTTCAAGGTGAATTCGCGCGCAAAGATCGACCTCAGTGTGTTCGATCGATGAACCTCAATCGCCATCGGCGCGGGTGTAGGATACGTGAGATTGGACCGACAGACTGGCGTCGATTGCGCTTTGAGATACGCGGTTCTAAATTTGGCCGAACCATAAAAGGAAATGCACAACAGTGATACGTTCTGAAAATAAAAAGATATTTTTAATATTGTCATGTGTCTATAAAATAATTAATATATTATTCTCAATCACACAAAGTTTAATACAGTAAGGGTTTAAAAAATTACAAGAAATGTGGCTTAAAGGAAATTAAATAATAAATTTCTAATTAGAAAAGTTTAGAAAAATTTATTGCGTGAGTAACTTTTACATAGTTAGAAATGACATTTTACACGTATCAAAATTTATAATTAATGCAGAGTGAAGTGCGGGTGAGATACGCGCTGGTAATTACGTTTTGCTGCGGTCGTGGAAGTTGACAAGTCGAGAGCGACGATGAAACTGATCTCACTTGAGCGAACGGACGGAAACTTCATCCCGCGACTTCATCTTGCGACGCCGAGATTCGTGACGCGAGTAATCGAGGCGCGCGATCTCTCGCCACGAGATGAGTTTACGCGGACGGACGGACGGACGACGATGACCGGTTCTGCCGCGGAGGTCCTTGCTCCTCTTCTTAATCTTTCTCTGATGACCGTACCTACCTCCGTCCTCTCTCTTTTCTCTCGTTACTCGCGTCTTGCGCGTCTCTTCTCTCTCTTTCTTTCTTTCTCGTCTTCCTTGGCTTCTTGCCTCATCGCAAGTGTAAATCCCGCTTGGGCGTTGCTCTCGAAACTGCTTGCAAGGTGATGGCGTTAAAAAGAAAGACGGCCTCGTCCCTCGCCAAACAAAAGGGAACTGAGAAAGCAAACGATCGAGGGACGTCTAGTGATTTTTGCGCAAGATTTTTTTTGCACACAATACATTTATACAAACCAAATGTTTTATACTTATCGTTACTAAAAATCAAACAATTATTAAGGAGACTAACAAGTAGATACTAACAAGTTTTTAATGAGGCTAACTGCTGGTTTTTACACTGTTTAACGTGTAACTATTTATATAATGACGAGCTTTATGAATATGTGTATGCGTTACGCTCGAGAAAAATCATATATATAAAGACTTAAAACAAATCCTTTTCTTATTCTTTTTATAAGAAGGACGCTAAGGATGCAATATATTTGCCTATGCAACATTAATCCGCGTGAATCATGATGTTTAACTAAACACCATACTGGCAAACACGATATGTTCCCAGTCAACAACCGTGAACGCACACTTTGCTGTAATTTCATCATCAAACATGCCACTTTTACATCACAATACTGCATACACGTGCGTAACGAGAGATTGTTGTGTCTGCTGCACTTAGTTCTCTCGGAGAAAGCAGAACAAGACGATGACGGGCTTCAAGCGAGAAAAATTACGTTATTTTTTTTAGACATGCGTGCAATTACGCGCCAACGAACCACATCAGTCGTTTTATCGTGAATCACAGATATACACGATATTATTTTGTATCAAATTTACATAATATGAAATTTAGAAAGTTGTAAATATTATATTATGTTTATAACAAAAATTTTTAATTAATAGCTGATAGTATTATTTTTATTTTACGAAACAAAATAATAAGAATTTAGAAAACTCCTACATTATATTATTTTTTGAACTATTTATAATATAAATTAAACAATTAATGTTTACTTCGTTTTTATATGTACGTATTGTTGTATGCACGATACGAAGGATCAGCTGCATTGAGGTCGTGGCTCATTAATAATTGATTGCACGCTGCAAATTCTCAGCAATTTCCGCCCATCGGTGTTGGGATATACAGCTCCGCTAATTGATGATGCTGCTTCGATCTGTAGAAGCTCAAAACTGCTAAAATAATTTTAGCGGTAATATAATTTCCTACTAGGAGCGCCGATCGCAATTACGATTACGATAATAATTCTGCGGTGATGGTATATTATAATGTATAGTGACCCCAACACATGTTGCAATTCTTATACACGTGTAGTTACCCGCAAGAAAGTTATATACGCGTGATAAGTTTAGCGCGATAATATTTACGGTTTTTCGAGTGCCGGGAAATACCTCGTCATCCATATGCTTCTATGATGGTTTCAGTCTTGAAAAAAATTGTATACAATATAATTTTCAGTGATTACAGCGCGGAGTAATCGCGTTGCGCATCGTGCAGGCGATTACCTGAATTATTCAGTCACAGAGTAATTCCTATTTTACGTCCCGTAATAACGTGTTAAATCATTAAGCTCGATCGTATTAATTACTAAACGCGCCCGTCGACGGTATAAACGTTGAAATATTCGCGAGCTACGTGCAACTAATCGTACGAGCGTTGCGAAACAAGTGCAGAGCAGGTGGCTGCGTTGAGTGTGTGCCTGCCGGATGGCAAACTGTTAACGCGAAGCAAATATGGATTGTTCGATTAATATTATAGCACCGGATATCGGGACTCGTTTAATTTACAAACGCACCGTCGATACGCTTTCGAATCAACGCCGCATATTTTCCGCGGACATATGTCGCAGCGGACGATGAATTAATCGTTTTGCAGTGCCAGTAATACACGTGACCCGACAAATATCTCAACGATGACACACATCCATGCCAGGAAAGGAGAAAGACAGGTTCGTTCGCCGACCTTTCCTCTTCCACGGCGACCCTTCCGCAAACTCGATCCGGCCGGAACGATCGGCCAGCTTTATTGAACCGATAGCGGCATCGAGAATCGGTTAGAAAGCTCGCGCATTCTTTCGCGTGCCAATATACACAAGAAGAGTATGCGCGACATACCTCTCCGTCGATTTCCATTAGAAAACTTAGTACCCCTCGAATCTCGCTTGGCCGAACAGACTCATGTCTCACTTTGTTCCCTCATATATTTTATTCGCTTTGTAGAAAGTCTCGTCGTGTTGGAAAATACTATAAATCGCGCGAACGTTTGTAGAATGGAAAATGATTAGAAATCGTATATTGAAACTAACATTTTAAATTGCACGTTGATTTTTATTATTATTCCTTATTTTTCTTCTATATTTGATATTAAGTCCATCGAGTAATTGTGAAATCGATTATTCTATATAAAAATTCATAACTGTAATTACAAAATAATTTTGTAAGGCAAAATACCACGTTTATTAAATAACTAATTTATTTAATAATAATTCTGGTTTAATGCACAAGTTTTACATTTAGTTTACGTAATAACGAAGATATAATGATCGCTAAATTCCATTGAAAATAAAACTTAGTCTTTACGTAAGTTGCACGAATCTAACTTTCTATTTGTTCAAAGTGTGGACTCACTTTTTTGCAAGATTTCGCTTTTGCGAAAATATATTTATGTAAGAAGAAATCGATTTACATTCTGTTATTAGTATATTTGCGTACGTAAATGTACTCACATGCATTTCCGTGGTCGTTTTCAATAGACATTTCATCTTCGGCTTTAACTCGGATTGAAGACACTCGACCCGAAAAGAAATCAGGCAGCGCAGAGATATTTGGTCAGCCCGATATGCTGGACGTGCGTGACTCGCGTACTCGCATTACACATACGCTGACGCGAGAGTGTACGGACTCTTGATACTTTCACTCGGCAAGTAGTCGGTTGCCAGCAATGGATCGGAGGTCAGTGCACCGGTGACCACAGTCCACGCTCGTATCCGCGAGCGCAAAACGGCCGCAGAAGCATGCCGATAATCCCGAAGGTGGATGCTCGCCGATGCGTTCGACAGCCTACGAGTCGATTTTGCCCGTTCAGCTCGGTATCATTAAGATCTCGCTGTTCGCATGTTCGTAAAATCGGGCGAGTCATCGTGCACGCTAGATTCGCTAAGCGATCGGTGTTATTTTTCGATCTCGCCGCTTTCTACGCTTGAGAGATACACCATAAGCTTACGTAAGGGAAAATAGAGCAAGATATCTGGCTGACCAGTCGCGTGACGCGCGCGCGTACGAAAGGTTGTTGATCGAGAAATGAAACTTATAAATGCGAGTAAAAAATTCGATTGGCATCACAAAACGCATGATAGAATTTGTTCGGTTAGCAGTATTCAATAAAAAGATAGCAACGTAATTGTAAGTGGTCGGCAAATATTTCGTTATGATTTTTAATAAGTAGCACGATTTCGATTTTGCCGTTTTCCATTTTTCACTTCCATATCCGTATCAAATATCTTTAATATTTCGCTGTGTGTTTCATTTTACGTTTCACTCGTTATACTTTCTTATTGCTTTTTGAAGAACAGAACATATTAGCTTTTTTTATATAATTTATCATAAGTGTAATAATAAATCTACATCATAATCTTTTATTTTTCTATACAATATTATTTCGATATAAATAGCTTCTACGTAAAAAATTTAATTTGATTGATAATTAAAATATATGAAAAATGAGGATAAATTCAAAAAATAAGTACTAGATTATTAAATATGTGCTAAATGTAGATAATAAATTATCTTCTCTAATTTTCATTTTACAATTTTGTGAGGAGCAATTTTACGATTATACATCACCGTCTAGTCACGCAAGGATCTCGAGGATGCTGCTACGAGCAGGGTATAACGAGTATGTAATAATAGCGGAAGACGATCGACGATCATGACGTAGATGATTGGTAATGGAGCGAGGCAACGTGACAATGACGTTGCACAAACATGTGTGACTGCGTCGCTCCGTTAGACAAACGCGGAACGGAAATGCATCAAGAGGTAACGCGCTGCTAACCATTGAATCACAAAGTGACAACGGTAGAGTTACATAGCCACCGCGATGTTACCCTTTCGGTGGAAGGTGCGGTGACCTCTCTGTGGAAGCCTTGTGTGGTTACTGACGTTTACCAAAGGTGGGCACTTCGGTTGATTCTGCAAGCAGCAATTAGAAGCGTTTACGATAGTATTAACTTAAGATTTGTATCAAATAGAACATGATGTAGCGTTTAGTTAAATCAGAGATTCTTAATCGATAGATTTCGAATGATTCTTGGAGTTTAGTTTTGCGTTTACAGCGTAAAACATAATATAAATACATCTATGAACAAAATCTGTTGAACATTGTTTATATTAATTATATCTAATTTTGAAAAAATTATAATAGATTTATGTTTAATTTTTTTTTAATTAATTTTTTAATTGTAATTATAAATTATAGATTTTTTCGAACATTGATAGCATTTTTAATTCTTAAAACGTCTCTTTATTTTTTCGAAAGAATAATTATTAATTATCATGTTTGATATAATTATTTTTCTACATTCATTAGTGCATGATTAATTATGCGGATAACAAACTTCGCACAGCGGTTTTGCAGTATTAAAAGAAAAGGAGGAGTGGGAAGAGAGTAGGCAGCGAACTGGCTGCAACACTGATTGACTTGCATGCTCGGAATCTTTTTCCTTGGGCGTTACGACTATTTTTCCTTGAGAAAATACCCAGGTAACACCCGCGATCGTGCGTGTGAATGGTTACGGTTTCCAGATTGGCTTGAACACGCGCAAATCGCGCGCGCGCGCGTGATAATAAAGAGGGGAAGGCGTCGACAACGTCTGGAACGCGAGGCGAGCTACGTAAGCCCCGTTATCTTCGGAATGCTAATTCCCGCAGGAACGGCACATGCGAGGAAGATAATATCGCTTACTCCCTTGATTCTCCTCCGACTTCCGACAGGTCCGCTGAGGATCTTCGTGACCTTCTTCTTACTCCTCTTTACCATTTCATCCTCTTCTCCACTCGCGTGTTGTATAGGTCAGGAACGATGTGAAATGGCAATTACATTTTTCACCGGATTCGATATCGAAAGAATTTCGTTACCGTAACGGGATTATTGCGATACCAGCGACTATAAAACGATAATGAAATTATATTTCCTTTCTGGGTTCCGCATGGAAGATTATGCTCGAGTGCTCTTATATTTTGCTTTCAATGCATTCATATACGGATAATGATTTAGAGATGCTTCCACGAGATTTCTCAGCTATTTATCAAGAAGTATACTATTTTTATTGAAGATTGGAAGAAATAGTAGCACATTACTAGCCTGTAGCATTAAATTACATTTTAAGTATTTGCCGTAAACGTTGAAAATAATGATAGATTTCATAAATATATCACACATAAATCATTATATTTTTCAGATGTCGATGCCAGTACAATTGCAATCTTAACAAATTTAAATATCATTTGATTGATTAAATTATGTTATGAGCTTGCTCATAATGATGACAAAGAAATGAAAAATCTCTTTATATGAGGTCGAATGTTCAATCAACATAAATATTTCTAGTCGGAAATCGGTGATTCAGACGTCGATTCATAGAAGATTGATTCGATGAAAGCAGTATCTGCGTAGTCTATAATAGCGTTAGTAGCATAGTATATAATGTCAGCATGTGAGAGGTCGTAGGTGAAAAAAATTCCTACCCATCCGCTTTCCCTCATCTGGCCAAGAGAGTGTGTGCCCAGTGATTAAGAAAGTCCACACACCGCGTTTTCTCTGATACTAATAACGTGAGAAAGCTGCGATTGATCTCGCCGATAAATCCGTGACTGATGACGATTTTATTATGATTAATACATACCGTTTATTACTAGAGATCGACAATTATTTTTTTTCTGTGAGCTTCTTTATGCGTTCATAATCATTTATTATTCTTACATCTTAGGTGGCCTGCGTAGCATACATGAAAGATTAAGTATAAATTAAGTTATTTGATTAACTCTCGACATCGTGTCATTATTATTAAGTGTTATAATACTCTATTTTGCACTATTAAAATTACATTTTTCGTAATTGTTTAGCGCTGCAAGCACTAAGTACGATCTCTCTATTTTGACTTAGATATGAGTATATAATAATTTTGTTGTGATTAATTATTTTTAGACTGCACGGTTCTTACGAGGCACTAAAGTACGGTACATTATTGGATGGCTTGTCTGATCTCACGGGTGGCATAACCGAAAGTATCGCGATTCGCCAGGACCCCACAGCCTGCGGACGAGCGCTATCTAAACTTTTAGATATGACGTCTCTTATTACTTGTACAGTAAATAATAATACACAGCAACAGGTAGAAAATATTGTAGAAAATCTATGGAACGTTCTTTCCAACATTTTTCACTCACCTGTATTTTTGTCGTAGATACGTGCCAGCACAGAAAAACTCGCCAATGGCGTACAAATGGGAATCAATTACAGATTGTATGCGATTGAGAGGGTTGGTATATCAAGAATAAACGATTCAGTATTTCTTATATATTATTTTATTAATATTTTTATATATATACACAAACAATTAAAAGGCAACCATAATAATTCAAGATATCTGACGGTACAATATTGATCTTGGTGTTGTAGGTAGAAACTTTTGGAGGGGAAGCAGTGCAATTAGTAAAATTAAGAAATCCTCTTGGGCCCGGGGGAGAATATGTGGGTGCTTGGGCGAGAGGCGGCCTTGAATGGGACGAAGTTCCCGTAATGGAAAGGGATCGGTTAGCTGTAAGAAATATGGCTGAAGGAGAATTTTGGTAAGTGAATGGAAGATGGCGTCTTGAATTTATAATGTATTGCGAAAGATGGAATGTTATAAAACTGATTAAATTAACTAGATTAAACGAATGTTTTACACATATTAATTGTATAATACGAAGTTACGAAAGTTTAAGATTAAATATGTTTCGTGATTAAAATGCAAATGAAACTTCGTCGAAGTATACCGCGATGAAATGTTCTAACAGTTACGGTTTCCAGGATATCATACTCTGATTTCGTTAAAACGTTCACTCACCTGGAAGTTGTGCATCTGGATGCTGAAACTTCGAGAGATGAACCGTCGTTGCACAGTAAGCATACTTGGCAAATGAAATTGTATCAAGGAAGCTGGAGAAGAGGTGTCACTGCAGGAGGATGTCGAAATAATCAAGGTTCGATTAATATGCAATTTATAAGGACAACACTGTATAGTTTAGATTGCAGTTATATAAAATGTCAAATTATTTAAAATTTTGATTTATTTTATTATTTAATTTAAATTTAACCAAATTTTACGTAAAATAACGTATAACAAAATGTTTTTGCAGAAACTTTCCACATAAATCCACAGCTGCATCTTATTTTGAGCGAGATGGAAGAAGTAATCGTTTCGTTAAACCAGCATTCTATAATGGAACCGAAAGTAAGAAATGTTATTTGTTAAATTTACTTAATATGTATCTCTTTTTCTTTCTTTCTTATCAAACTTTTGCTCTTTTAAGGTGATTGGTTTCACGGCGTACACACTACCGAAGAACAGCACTGAATCGATAAACAAGCAATTTTTTAAAAAGAACAAGTCTTTAGTTAATTCCCAATATACAAATAGTCGGCAGGTGAGCCACAGGTGCCAGCTCGAGCAGGGTGGTTACCTGCTGGTACCTACGACCTTCGAGCCGACTCAAGAAACAAGTTTCACGTTACGAGTCTACAGCAGTAAGCCTCTAAAACTCAAGTAAGTATGCATTTACCGCTGTCACATACATACGTGCGCATGAGTGGCATAAAGGATCGTATGGTCGTGCATATGCATCTTGGTACATTTAATGTACAGCATACATTAACTTGTGCAAAAGTATGTTATATTTATCCGCTTTCAACTACAACTTTAGCATCTCTCGAATATATTTTAAACGAATCAAATGCCTGTTTCGTCGAGGCACTATCTTTTGATAGCAAAACAATACAAATCGAGAGTTTTATCGTCAAGTTTTTTTCTGTTTTGTACATGCACACAATTATCGTATATTTTATTATCAAACGTTTTATTTAGAATATAAAATATATATATTTTTTATTATACAATTTTAATAAGCTTGAAATAAATTTGAAAAAATAAATAAGAAAATTTTATTTTATTTGTTAATGTTTCAGATTGTTAGACACTCCGCCATCGTTAATGAAATCAGCAATTGTCAAGGCACCTCCTCTTGAAGGAAAAGGTTTCTCTCAGTATGAAGCTGTGTTTCTACAGCTCGCCGACGAGCATAGAACCGTAAATGCCTTCGAGTTGCAGGAGCTTTTAGAAGCCTGTTTACCGAATGGTACGATGCGACATTTCTTCGTCATAAAATATATAGAAAGTCTCGCCAAGTAGAATAAACTATAATGGCATACAATGCTAATCTAATAAGTATTTTCTCTTTAATTTACAGATTATATTAAAAGTTGTGCCTGCATGGAAGTCTGCCGACAAGTAGTACTTACTATGGATGTATCCTTTCAACAAAAAATTTCAATCTCTAATGCTTATTAATTTCCAACATGTTTGTCTCGATGTTATAAAAGTATACTATTTCTAATCTTACATTTGATAAATATTTAGTATTGATAGAAAGTAGCTTTATATTTTCCATAATTGATTTTAATAGGCTGATCTTGAATGCCAAATTAAAAAAAGGGTATATTGAAAAATTATTCATTCTTACGCTTTAGAATCTTATATAATAACATTTGATAGGCTTAGAACTTTACTACAATGTATTAAAATCTTATATTTTAGAATTGTAGACCATTTCTTTGTTTAAAATGTAAGATTTCAATACACCGTAGTAATAAAAATGTACATTTTAAAGTTTTAACCTAACAAATGTTATGATATAACATAATAAGGCATAAAAATCGATAAAATGTATTGTACATTTTAACATTTTAGACCATTTGTTTTTTTAAAACATAAGATTTCAATAGATTGTCGTAAAATTCTAGACTTACTAAATGATTCTATTATATGATTCTAAAGCATAAAAAGGAATAAAATGTACATTTTAGTCATTTTTATCTCTGTCATGTTATGTTCTATTTATTTAAATGACAAATGTTACAAGCAATAGTTTCCTTACATGTTTTGTATCGGTAAATAGAGCTCCGGAAGTGGCCGGCTAAAGTTCAACGACTTTAAAGATCTTATGTGCAGTTTAAAGTACTGGCAAGCTGCTTTTAAGAACCATACGAAAGAAAAGACAGGTATACTCAAAGCGGAGAGATTGCGCGATGCTCTACTGGAAGTTGGTACGTAGAGAGAAAATGTAATACACGACGCTGCAGAGTAAACATTCTATTTTGTCTTTGTGTAACTAAAGCTTTTATCTCAGGTTTTCAATTAAATACGGACGTATTATCCATTTTGATTCTTCGATATATGAGGAAAGATGGAACTCTTAGATTCGGTGATTTTGTTTCAGCGATATTACATTTAAGCGACGCATTTGGTACGTTTATTATGAGGTGTTGAATTTATTTTTGTATAATATATTTTATACATTTTTTAAAAATAATTTATATTAATTCAATTTTTTGCATTTATTTAGGAATATTCGAAAGTAAGGATCCTTTGCAAAATGGAACGATAAAATTAAGTTTATCAGAGGTATATAAATTTTTTATCAAGTATTTACTTTTATAATTACGAATTATTAAAAATTACGTATTATTAAAAACAATAAATAATAATCTTGGTTTTCATTTACAGTGGCTGAGATCGTCTTTGATGTGTTAAAGTGTCAGTCCGCCTGAAATGTGTACCTTGAATCATCTGTAAATAACATTGTTTTTCATTTCGACATTAAATGTAAGTTTTAGCCATATTAACAATTAGCGACCGTGCCCATCTATTTACACATTGTAAAATAATGTCATTAATTTTTATATTATCAATGATCATCATTGTCTTTTCATGTTATCATGTTATGATTGAGAAGATATGTATAATACGTTGCTTATATAAGGCTGTCGCACAATAAAATTAAGTTTATTTTGCATAATTTTTATATATTTTTAATATATAATTATATAATTCTTGTATATTTTTTATTAGATATTGATGCACCGAGTTATTCAGAAATATACAGAAAGATTATTGTGTTTTTAAAAGTGTTTCACAGGTAAGTTTATTTTACTTTATTTTAAAATTTTTTATGCATGCAATGGAGAGGAAGAAATATAGCAAAATTACAATAGAAACATTTATTTATAGAATTCGTTCGAGAGATACAACGGAACTTTTGATATCCTAGAATTTATCACCTACTCCCAACGGCGGAGTAAGGTATAATCCGCGCAAATTGATTCATTCCTTGTCCGAGTCATCGACTCGACACTCACATGTTCTGAGATCTGAGGTTTCATTTTGCGCGAATTATATAATAAGTGCACACGAGACACAGATAGGTGAACGGCGATATGTGAAAATTGCCAAGAACAAGTTGACATAATAGAGGCTTTGTCTATAGCTTGCCAGTCGTTCTGGGCAATTTTAAATATTCCGTCGAAGACTTTAGATGATGCTTTGATCAAGGAGACTACCGACTGCACTTTAGCGCAGTCCGGTATAATACGTCGAAAAACACGTACGTCCGTATCAATTATGTCCTTATCGACACCTGTTACTGCGAGCAACATATTCGGATTGTACGTGACTCTCGATTTGATAATCTGGTGAACGTAACTCCGAGCAATATTGTGCAAGCAAAATCTGTGCAAAACTAGAATGACTTTTGCTGTACAAAATACGAGTAATCTTAATATCCCGCGGCTTTGATATGTGCAAGTTTGAGATTAAGACTAGAAACTCCGGAGATAGATCATTCGTTCACCGGCGATTTCAATAAGAATCATTGCAATTTGGCACACCTTCATCATTTTCAGGTATTAAAAAGATAATGCTAGTATGTCGCCCTTATAATATATTACACATTTATTAATTATATATTAATGTGCATACACAATAAGTTTCAGTCTTGAAATAATAAAATAACTGCAAGAAGGAGCGTATAAAAATAATTTTTAAAAATTTTATTTAAAAATTCAATAAAAATTTAAAAAAAGGCAAATTTATGAAAATACATCTTTGCATATAAATACAATCAGTTTTCACATAAAAAATATAAATAAATTTTCTGAAATATTTTAACGGACAGAATTGGATTTTAAGAATAAGCTACAACAAATAGAAATGTATCTATAAATACAAGAGAGATTTTATTAATTTTTATGAACATCGTGTACGCTGCTCGTAGAAACACGATATCGATTTCTCCTTCTACAAACAGTCACTTTGTAGAATACGTGTTTTCGTCGGTGCAATGAAGGGAAGGAAGACGTTCAAAGGTATATAGCCGGGGTTCATAGTTTCACACACATATTACGACCGTTTCCAAGAGAGGAAGACATCGAAGTTTAGAAGGTCTCGTGCATCGGCGCAACGACGCTTTTCTTTCACGCGAGTATTGGATGATGCTCAATTTATCGTTCAGATATTTACATGATCGTGAAAATGTTTATAGCAAGATAATAGAAGTCTTAAAGTAACGATAAGTCGATTAACGATTCACTGGGATCTTATTGAATAGAAAAGTCTGTGTATTATTTTACGGGTAATTTACGGCGACGAGCAGATCATTTTGGAACTAACAAGTTATAAACTTGTAACTTTTATAGCTTAAACCGTTAGTTAAAGTGGCGTGATTTAAGCTCGGTGTTATACTAAAAAGCAATTATTTTTAGATTGCTGTTAATTTTGCACTATTTAAACAATAAATTTTTGTAAATACAGAAGATGATTCAAATCTTTATCTTAAATTTTTGGCTGATAATTTTATTAATTTATTGGCAAATTATTTCTCTTATTTCTTACTACCGCGCGAATATATTTTT